ATGACAATTGTTTATCAGCAAAATTGTGTTGGTTTGCTTACACATAACTAGAGTGCAGCAGGAGCATGTTTACAGAGCTCTTCAGCTTCTGGGAATTTGAAACCATCCGATTCCACAGTGGGGGAATTAAAGATACTGGCTAACCAGACTCCATTAATATATAAATTAAATTGCCTTGAGTAAAGGAAAAAATTAGTCTGGAACACTGTTTTGTAGTATTTTCTTATCAGTACCAAACTGGGCCATTAATATCTTTCATGCCTTTTTATTTTTTTTAACCTTGTGCAGAGATAGGGATTTGACTGATTGTTACAAGAAACCTTAGGGGAATAAAACATGTTCTGGGACTAGGGGTTGCTGGCCAGTAATATAATTAACACCAGAGTTACAGAAAGCTATATGATAGACCAGGTAAGCCAAGCATTAAAAATATGTTCTGTGCTCATGGAAACCAGGTTCATCATGCACAAAGTGGAAAATTTGTTTAGATGCAAAATATAAGATGTATTTTAGATGCCACATGTAAGTATGTGTAGACATTTCAGTGTTAACCACTATATGCTTCTGTGAGCCAGATTATACATGAGTTGAAGTTGTTAATTATTTGCAATTAGTCACAGTCATACCACATGGCCAGAGAGCCAGACCCTCTGCCAATGTTCCTCCAGGCCTCCCTTGTGCTGCTGCCTGCTCCTGAAGCAAAAGGCTCTCAAGTGAGCATTGCTGGGCACTTTACTCATTTATTCTTCTACCTCTGAATGGCAATTACAATATCCTCTCACTGAAAATCTTGCTGTTCTGCTCCTAATGCCATAATATTCCCTTGAGCTTTCCAGATGCAAACACAGACCATTATCTCAGTGTGCAGGTGACTCCACTCCTGTCCCTGGTGCTTAAATCTTGCCTCAGATGCTCAATTGCTCCCCTGTAGCTCGGTGAAGACTCTCTGGAGCCTGTGATAGGCAGGAGGAGCTTCACAGCCAACATTAAATGTATGAAGTTTTCAGGTCTTTGCCTGGGCTTTGCTCTTGTGTGTCAGACAGATGTCTTATTTGTGGAGTTTGTGCTTTACTGGTAACCAAGCTGCAGTAATGCAAGGGGAGGAGAGCTTTTTGCCCTGCTGTGGTGTTTGCCATGTGGAGTTCCTGCCCACTTGTGTCAGGCAGTGCCAGCCTATCCCCAGAGGACCTCAAGGAGACTCACCCTTAACTGAATCTCTGTGTTTGCCCTGCTTAATGGATTTGTCTTAGCAAGTGCTGTCCATAAGGCATGGTCTTTTGACTTAGTGAAATAATTTGTATGACTTTCCCTGGGGCTTCCTACCTGCTGAAATCCTTTCCAGAGCTGTCAGTTCTTGCAGACATGCAGCTTGCCTGCCTGCCTTTGCCTGACAAGAATAGTGACATCAGGTGGCAGTGGGGCCTCAGGGTCAGAATAATACTCAATTCCTTTGTTGCTTTTTTACTCTTTATTTTTTTGTTAATTTAACATGATGTGGTGTTATTGCAGTCTGGGCAACCTGATAAATGTAAATAATTAATTTACCTCTAGGTAGTTTACTGAAATAAAGGGCACAGGGCTATAGATAATGGGCCCAAACTAGCCCAAAATTTATCAGAAGATTCAGTATCCCACCACTGTACTCTATCTCATTATATCAGTATTAGATTTTCTTTATCTCCCCTCCCTCTGGAAAATGGAGATATATTTCTAAAATAAACACTGATAATATGATTAAATTATATTAATTTTTTGTCTTGTTAGTCCACAATAACTAGAAACTCAAAATGTTAAGATTTTGTAATTAATGAAAGATCTTTTCCAAAATAAATGATTTTATGATTCTAAGATACCAGGAGACCATACTGGAGACCAGCAGTCAAAACATAAGACATTATACATGCAACATGGTAAGCAAGCAGTTTACACTGGGAGCTGCCACATTCATTTTAGGAAGATTAATCTCAGAGAGGAAAGCATATGTGGAACTGGGTCACAGCACTTCACATATTCAAGCTTGTGTAAGATACAAAGTGATCAATCCCCGTAAGATCTTTGTAAAGTGAACAAGGTTTATTATTTATAGTAGTAAACTGCCTGGCATTTATTTTTTCAAAGCATGGCAGTGGCATAAAGTATGTTTTAACTTTTGTTGTTTCCAGTTATTTGCATTTTAAAAGCTCTGCTGTGAATCATTATACTTTTCTTGAATTGAATGATTTATACCAGACAAGATACTTGGAATGTACTGAAATTACAATTCTCAAAGCTAGTGAGGAATGAGAGAGTATGGACAACATGGAAATTCAGTGTTACTTATGCAGCTGTATATATAGTCTAATATGCAATTATTGAACCTCTGAGTTATTCTTGGCAGAGATGGCAAGATCACAAAGGCCCCTGGCAGGATGGGTGCCTGCCTTGCTGTCCTGATACCATCAGGAGGTGGCAGCACAACAATGAGGCAGCACAGGCACTGAGATATGTCCTCATTGACAGTCTGCTTCAACTTCACTCACTTGGAATGGAAGCCTGTTTACTGCACTGGTGTTAGAACATAAACCTTAGCAGAAGCTGAGGTCAGGTTTAATGAGAGTAACTCTTTGGAGTATGTACAGCAGTTCATGATGTGTTTTATTGTAATTATTTCCTACTAGAAGCAAATCTCCTTTCTCCTCTCTCACCAGCAAGTCCTACTCACCCTCTCTTACAGTTCAGTTTTTTTGTATTATGACAATTTCGAATCAGTTTTCTTCTTGAACTTGATTCTGGCTCTCTGACCATCATTGAGCTCAAAGCATTTTTTTCACTGCTCTGTATCAGAAAAGTCACAGCTCTCTCACGTATTTTGCAATGTTTGAGGCTATTCCACTGCATTATTTGTTGAGATAACCCTTGCATGGATTGAGAGCTGCTCTTTGTGCTCAGAGCTACAGCTGGTAGTAAGTGTTGATGTTGTCCTGCACTCTTTCAGCCCAAGGCAGTGTCAGAGCAGGAGGCAGTGCTGGAGGAGCCTCTTCTGCACACCTGCAGCAGTGTGAAAGGCACGTTGCTCTTTGAGCTGTACGTGATTTAAGATCTAGTGCTTTAGAACTATATCCGCTTTTTTTTTCAGGGTTTGGGAGTTTGTTTGGGCTTTTTTTTTATGATTTGTGTTGACCAGAGTTCTGCTGACAGAACAGGCAGCAGAGAGATTTGGTCCCCACTCCTCGTTCTTGTCTAAAGGAGCATCACAATCACTCTCAGAATATTTTATTTAATTATCATCTGCCTTTATTGTGATTTTACAGAGTGGCGTCTTTAGACTATTCTTTTTTTTTTTTTTTCCTTTTGTCAAAGTACACGGTAATACTTCCAGCCCCGTGCCAGTGGGATTGCAGCGTCTATGGATCACACAGGTGCACTGAGCCCCGTCCTTCCCTTGCCAAGAGTAACAGTGACACCCTGTGGCAAATTGAGTAGAGGCCGTGTGACCAATTTCCTGGGTTTCTTTCAAATTTGCCTCCGAATTTCTTACCCGGCAGGGGGTGTGACAGGAGGAATTTCTCCCCTACACATAGGAGGGCTTAATCAGTTTGTCACCTGTCTCTTATTAGACGTTTCCATTATTGGAAGACATGTCTAATGAGCACTTTAATTCTTAGATACAGAGAACACTCTGCCCCAAATGGCCAGATGCTCGTGGAGGTGGAACACAGAACAGAAATTGAGAAAAGAAAATTTTGTATTTCAGTTTAAATTGATGTTACAGGAATATACTGTTCTTCATTATCATTCATACCACTTTTCTCTAACATGGCAACAGTCTATTGAACCACATCAGATTGCAATGACAAAGATATCACAATATAAAGGTATCCACAACACAAAATTTACTACATAAACAACTGCAGGTGGAACTCAGGGCCATCCTTTGAACTTCTTCCTTGCACCATTCCTTTGGTTTGTTTAATGAGTATAAACAGCACAATTGCTCTGTAATTACTGACATCATCCTGATTCCAGCCAAGGCCTCACTGCACAGTACCATGGGTCTACTGTGTTATCACACGCTAATGTAAGAGCCATGTACCCCAGTTGAAGATTTTCCAATGAGCTGAACTTATGACACTCAGTAAGTGCTTCATGGCTGAGTGAATAGTATGGGCTGCACACTGCAAGTGGTTTAAGCCTCATGCATGTGAAATAGCTGACAAAAGAGATTTAAAACTACATGAGAGCAAGGGGTCTGCTTTTGGCTATTTTGGGGGTTTGGTGGTGGTGGTTTCTTTGGGTTAGATGTTGCTGGTTTGGTTGGTTTTATATGGATGTAGGAAGGAGGAAAAAAACTATTGGGCAAATATCCCTGGGAAGCTTCATTTGAATAATGTATTATAGACAGATTACTTTTAAAAACTAATGAACATGCAAGAAAGGATGTAATAAATTAGGTTTTGTGTCCTCTGTGCTTGAAATTTAAGGCTATTATGTCTTGTCCAAGTTTAGATGTTTGGGTGGCAAAGCAATCTTCTTTAAGCAATGGAATAGACTGCACTAATCAATGTCTTATTCTTAAAAGACTCTAATAAGCAAGCTCTAATAAGCAAGTTACAGAAGTGTCTATGGCAAATATTTTAGGTAGAGTGGGATCTATTTCAAAGTGAAGAGGTGGAGCAGATTACTTCCTAAGGCTCCTCCCAATCCTTCTTTCAGTGAGTTTGTGTCATTGAACTTTGTGATTTAAATAGTATTTTGTGCACATCTATTACACTTTCCCAAGTTCTGTTGCTCAGGTGCCATCCACACAAACACTACCTCACTACCTTGTTCCTTTTGTGGGCTTGGCAGGCTTGCACTTGGTGCACAAACTCAGAGTCAGAGCATGAGCACTTGTGCTGAACAAAGAAAGGACATTATTTCCACCATCACAAGTGGACCTTGGTGAAGGACTGGAACACAGGAATCCCACTGGACATAACCATGGGAGGGAAAAAAAGGGGCACCTGTGCTTCCAAGCACTGCTCTTTCCTTCTATTTGGCTTTCCAAGATCCCTGGGGATCAGTTTTCAGAACTGGTTTCCATTTGGCAAAACCAGGCTCCCACAGCTCAGTATGTGCAGCACTGCCCTGTGGCTGCACAGCTGTGCCCTGAGGGGAGCCTGTGTCTGGAGAGGAGTTTGCTCTGACAGGTTCTGGTGATGAGAGGATACTCCAATGCTCAGAAGCACTCTGAATTCTCCCCTGAAGGACTGGCTTATCACATGTGAGCACCCCCTGGCAGACAGTGCCAACATGACAAGGTTGACCTGGGCCTCCCTCCACTTGGCACTTCAGAGTTTGAAGACACTGCTTGGTAGAAGCTTGAGTATTATTTTATTTAGGCTTTTACTTATTGATTTAGCTGAGATTTGTGAAAAAAACCATTTTTAAGGCAGAAAAAAGTAAAATTGGATAGGATTTCCTGTGTTGTTTTATATCTGGATCAATCACGCAAGATTTTTACAAGAGAAACAATTTAAGTAAGTCCTATTTAAATGTTTCTGATTCCTTGTATGCTCTTCATATCACATCAGATTTTCTCGGGTACAGACTTCCAATTACAGAATTAAAAAAATATTCTGGTTTTGGTCTGTTTCTTTCAATCTTTTCATTTCTCTTTGTTTTTGTTTTTTTGGGGGTTTTTTTCTTTTTTTTTTAATAAAACACCAGTGATAGTTTTTCTACTGCACATAGCTAAATATTTAAGAATAGATAGGAATACATACAGGAAGTAAGATTGAATTTTGAAGACAATTCCTGAGAAATATCTACAAGCATTTAATTGTCTCTCTTTAGGGAACCGGGCTTTCCCCTTAGCTGCCATTGTAAATATATTTCACAGGACATGGATGATAGCAAAACTGCCTCTGGTATTCCTGGTTTGTATCAGAGAGCATTGGGAGCCAGAGCTGCAAAAGCTTCATGTGTCTTTGAGACATCAGTGACTTTCAGCTATAGAGGAAGTGAATATAAACTTAGGTGTTAATCCTGTAAAGATGTATGCATACACATGATTTTTACACTCTGCACTGACTTACTGAAGTTAATGACTGTAAGTTCTTGAAGTAGTTTTTTAAATTCTTTGTTTTATATATGGTGACTCTGTGGACCAAAATGGCTTTTATGGAAGTGATATTTGCCACTGATTTTCCAACTAAAAATATATTTTTCCAATACTAGCTGAATGAAAGGTCAATTAGGGGCAGTGTAGAGACATCCTATTAATTTATTTAGATTAACAATACTGTAAAGTCTGACAATTAAAATCATTTTTGTGTATTAATTACTGTTAATAGTATAAATTAATAGGATGCTAGATGAAATATTTTATTTTTTCATGAGAGTTTAATCCTGCATGGCTTAAAAACTTGAGGTGCAATATATCATGCCATAAATAAAGAAGTAAAAACAACGTATTTTTTTTATTGTCTAGATAATATGCCACATGGGTGCTGATTTTCATATGTAATCTCTTCTGGGAATGGAAATTATTATCTGGAAATAATGTGAATGCAATTAGCAATTTGAGTCTGCTAAATTATTAAAGTCTACTTAAATATGATGAATCAATTTTTTTACTTTAATGAAAATTTCTAATGAGATCATAAACTGCATCTCTAAGAAGATCATAAACTATTTTACATTAGAGTCTCCAGACTAGGTTAGATTATCACCTTCTCTTTAGTTTTCAAACCATTCTAAGTTTTTAGCAATATATTGAAGCAAGTCATAGGAACACATGCCTAGTAAAAAATGCCCTATATACATCTTTTATCTTGTGTAAACTCCCCTTGGTTATTAATTTTAAAAGGTTACAATACTTAAGACCATGTAAGTTGTTTTTTATGTTGTTTATGAATCATCTAAGTCTACAACTACATTATATAACACTACCTAATTTTCACACACAGAATATTTGCAAACCTAAGCAAAGATTTTCTGATGTTGTCTTGACTTTGAAGATTGGTCTGTTTAGTGCCAATTCTGTCTTTCCAGGAAGTCAGTAGTAGAGAAAGTCACTGTAAAAATGTCCATTGATTTTAACTAAGTAATTTGTATCAAGGTGGAGAACCTTGCCAAATTCATATGAAGCAAATGATAGCAACTTGCCTTTTTTTTAAGGTGGAGGGGTGCAGGTGCATATAAAAGCATTTAGCTGCCTGATCAAGCCTGCAAAACTGGAATGCCTTTAGCAAACTAGGTGCCAGCTTCACCAGTGTATTACTCCAGTTTTACACAGTGCTCAATTTCCTGACAGCAACTGGAGTAGTGCAGTGGCAAAACAGCACCTCAGCTCCACAGGCTCATTGCAGATATCCAAGAACAGCTTGTATGTACTGCTGTGAGCAAGCACCTGTGCAGCAGCAGCAGCAGCAGCAGCAGCAGCAGCATGTCATTTGGTACATGCAGGTAATTGGCATTACAGACTGGAACAACACTAGAGTCTGCCTTGTTAGCCAGGTAAACACTAATCTCTCAGACAAAACCTTGCAGTCATGGTCCAGCTTCTCCCCATCTTGGAACCTCCTGCTTCATTTGGTGGATCTGCTTCTGGAGTTCATCTCTGTCCAGCTTCATTTTTGCTTCTAGAACTTGCCGTAGAGACCCAATGCTCTCGTAGATAGCTGCAAACCCTATTGCAGGTGAGAATGGCATTAGTTCATCATGAGGAGAAAGTATCACATCACTGCTAGCACAATGCACTTCCATGATGCTCTGCTTTGCACTAGGAACTCAGCAAAAGTTCTGAAGGACATGGGGTGTAACTGTGTGCTGAAGGCAGAAATGCCCTGATGGCAGCCCAGCTATGGCTGTGCCTGCTTTGGGGAGGGCACTTCTAGGCTGGGTGTCACCCCTTATTGCTCTGCTTTTCACACTTAGTGAAAATCCCTCTTAATGTCACAGGTTACATCTGCCCCAAAACTATTTAAGCTACTTTGATACAATCCAAGACATTTTGCATATTAGTATGAGTGGATCACTGTCACTACAATTCAGAAAAAAGAACTGGATAAATATGGTCCTACCAGCATTGACTTCAGCTTTCATTTCTTTTATATCTTCATTTATCTCATTTTGAAGTTTGACAATGCGAATATTTATCTTTTCTTCAGTCTGTTTTGCTTCGTGTGCCTCCATGGTTATCTTCTGCATTTCTTCTATTCTCTCAATTTTCTCTGCCATTTGGTTGAATTTCATCTCAATACCTCTCTCACTCATTTCCTAGAGCCAGGAAACAGAATTTTAATTATTTACTGTGCATGTGGAATAATGGTGGCCTTTTTAAAATATGAAATAGATACTGATTTATCATCTTTTATCTGGAATTCAAAATATAAGGCATTACAATTTTCATAAAATCATTTCAAATTACTTGATTAGTGTAGGTTAAAATACTGATCTATTTAGTAGTGATCAGATTCATTTAAAGATTCTCAAGCTGTAGGTATTACACTTGATATTGATGAAGAGACTTTGGCATATTCTGAGGCTATCTGAAAATCTCACTCAAATAATATCTCAATTATATCATCTTAGTTATTAATAATGCTTTTGAATGCTTCCTGAAAAGTATTACACGACACTTGAATGAAACTTACAGTGCTTTCCTTAAAAGTCAGTGAGAGTTGGTCGATTTTTTGCACAAGCTCTTTTTCAGTCCTTCCATGTTCCTGTTCCAGCCAGCTCCGTGCAGACAAAATCTGATTGCTGAGCTCCTCAACAGCATCTTTCAATCTAGGAGCACAACAGAAATTAGCAGATACAAAGAACTGGTCATTGGACAGTGAATTGTGAAGGTGTTCATAAAAACACAAAATGGCAATTTAATACATTCTTCATATTAATATTCACCAGATTAAGGTGATCCTTTGAATTTTAAACTGGATGTGGTAACATTGGTTTAGAAAATAAAGGTAGAAGTTCACAGCAAATTTATATCAAACACATTACAAAATTTGAATCACAGTAGATGAAAATTCTTTGTGACATTGAAAACAGAATCTAGTTATCCATTCAGATTATAAACTTTATGTCCATATGTATCAAATCAGAGCAAAGATTTGGTAGCCACTTATTCTGGTGATAGTGCTGGTTCCTGTAGCTCCACTTACATTGCCTATACCCACCTCAACTTTACTCCAACCAATAGTGCCAGTGAAACTGTTTCTTTCCTCCAGTGAATATGTGAAACATGCATTGCATGAGGATGGTGATAAGCAGTAAGAAATGAGGATGGGGATGGTTTATACCAGGACAGCTACTGAGTGAAATGCCTGGAAAGGAGTTAACATCTGAATTGAATATACCCCATGTCATGTCTGGTAGTACAGAGTATCTAATCACTAATCATTTAGGTATTTCAGTTATATTCATGTTTGAAGCCAATTTAAAGCAACAGCACTCTGTGAGTACTGTGACTTGCTTCCTGCTTGCTTCAGTTGAACTTTTTCCCCTGCTCTGGACAGCCACCTCCAGCATTCAGTGCTTCAGACAGTTGTTACAGAAAGGCACCAGGCCACTCTGACAAAAACCCTTAGTTGTGTCCTTTACTATAAATCCTGCCTGATAACTAGGAACTTAATCAACTTTTCAGAATTGCCTGACCACATTAGGGGCAGAATTCTTGGTGAAAGCAAGTCCCTCTTGACCTCTTGACAGTCAGCTTTTGTAATATCTGTGGAGCAAACACACATATTCATAGAGGTTCCTGCTTTTATAGGCCTGAAGATTATACCAGTCAGACTGGCAAAACTGAGGCCAGACTGGGAAAATGGAGGCCCTACTCCCAAGGTGCATGGCAGCAGCAAGGCTTCCCAGGCACTCACTTTGTGTCCAGAACTTGCAGCTGTTGGTTGCTCTCTTTGTAGGCAATCTTCAGCTTTGCTTCTTGTTGCATTATCGATTGCTCTACTCTGCTCAGCAGATGAGAAATCTGAAACACGATTCAGAATTTTCAACAGCATTTCATCGCAGTTTCATTTGGGACATTTTCATAACAGTAGAGATCTAACAGAGCTCACTTTTGCTAACATTTCAAAAATTATTGATTTGGGGTATTTTGCTTTATAATGAAAATATACTGTCTCTCAATATGAAAGTATCAGCATTTTGAAAGCAGTAAATTTTTTTGCCTTAAATAATGTGAATAGTTTCATCCTGAAAATCTCTGCCTGCCCCCCGCCTTTAGACAGCTGAATTTGCATGATCCATACATCTCCAAGTTGCCACATAATCAGAATAAACAAGTGTCCAAGCACTCCACCAATACTGAGGGATGTGCTCCATCACTTTGTGTGTAAGGGCCACTGCAGTGAGAGAAGTGCTGGGTTTAACTGGAGAGAAGTCATAACTACAAGAGAATATTTGCTCTAAAACAACCATCCCTCTTTCTCAAAGTATAGTGCTCTGGTTCCCTACAAGATGCATGACAACATGCTCCTAGCATGCTAATATACTGCACTGAGGTTTCTGAGAAAGGCAAAGTGCATTTTAGCCTTTTTTTTACCCACTGCAAAAGGAAGATGTAAAATACTTTTGTTGTCTGAGAAAAATGGGAAGGCTTTGAGATGTGACATTAAGGAAAAGGATTCTTCATATCTCCAAGTCTCTGCTTGTATCTAGTGCTCACTTCCATTCTCAAACCCAATGGAAGAGAAACCTGAGAGACAGATTAATGAATTCACAGAACCCAAAGCCAGTTGTGTTTTGCAGACCTTCAAAAATTGTGTTCAAATACATTTAGGATCATCCTGGAAAGGCCAAAACATACAGCAAAAGCCACAGAGGCTTGCATTGTTGTAGTTTTGTTCAGCATGTGCCTTCACATACTAATCCTTTTACACAGATGCTGCAGGAACCAATGGAAGGACCTTTTCCAGCTGGAGCAGTACAGTAATGCACCTAGGTAAAATGTTCAATGTAATAAGGACTGTGAGCTGATGCACCTCTCCATTTGGAAATCTGTGAGCTCCCAGGATAATAATTAACAGTAATGGAGTCTGTGTGAATTAGACTAGAACTCTTACCTGTACAGGGATTGCCTTGGTCTAAATACCATACCTGTATTTCTGCCTCTTTGATTTTAGATTCTAAGATCAGCTTGGAGGTGTGTTGGTCTTTACTTAGACTCTGAAGTCTTTCATATGTAATTTTATGCTCTGCAGACAGCCTGGCTAACCCAGCATCACACCTGTTTGAATAGATAAAAAAACAAAGCACCAGCCAAATAGAAGATAAGGTCCAGGCTTTTAAAATTACTCATTTCATACTGGCCATTTCTGTGGAGTTCCTGGCTGGCTAGGGAAGCAATGTCTTTGGGACTGTAAAAGGGTAATACATCTCCTAGGGTTCAGAGAAGTGCTCCCAAATAGGTATGAAGGTCAAATAGTCTGATAAACAAATTCCATTGTTCTTGGCACTGGCATGATGTGGGTGGGCTGTGCTATCACTCAGGGAAATCATCTCAGAAATGCAAATATGCAGAATTTCATTTCCATGTGTTTTTGTAATGCTCTAGAAGATATCTGATAAAGTGAGTGTGTGTGTCTCTACATGATTACTAGCCTAAATAACTGAGGACCATTTCTTCATTATTGTAGCTTTGCATTTTATTTGTGAAATAGTAGTACACAGCTAGTATGTGTAGTTAACAATGTGGGGCAAATTTTATGGTTCTTAGTCTTTATTTAGGTGAATAAATAAATTGTCATTGAAAGCAATGGTAATTTTGTCTCAAAAAAGGCTGTAAAATGAAGTCCTGAAACATAATAACTATTGTTTCCTTTTGTCACATTGAAACACTTCTTGATGCTGTAGCATTTTCAGGATAATTATGCCATAGAACATGTGTGTTTTCTACCAGATTTTAAAAATAATTTGATCAGGTGGAGTTCATCTACAGTAATGCAGTAAGGGCCTTAACTGAGCTGTAAAAATAAGAGTACTGTGATTTCAGGAGTAAGACCTCTGTGAAATGTGACTCATATATATATTATTTTTTTTGCTAAGGGAAATATGTAATCATCAGTGTTACCAAATTTGATATAGGAAACTGATGAGGAACAGACAGCAGTTACAATTTGAGGGAGAAAAAGGCAGTAAAATAGAAAAAGCTGAGGCATGTTAAGTCATTATCTAAACCAATAACATACTTTGTCATCTTTTTAGTCACATTTCTGTTTGAAAGCTTTCATTTCAACATGCATTTTCATCACCTCAGTTTCAAGAATTGCCATTATCATTAAACATGAAGGGAAAGTCACAGCTAAGATGACAAAAGGAGCATCTGCTTATTATTATGGTACAGTTTCAATATTAAAATAATCAGTAATGTAAAATAGCACATAGGCATTATAAAACTTGAGGAAATTAATTTCTAATGTATTAGTTCAGCATTGTGAGACCTGTTAGTAAGATCTGCAGGAAGCCTGGCTAGGGTTTACATAGCAGTGAAAAGCTTGCCGGGCTCACAATCAGGCAGTTTCTAAAGAAAGACAAAAGAAGCCAAATCTCTCCATGTTGTTACAATCAGAGAGAATCAGAGAAATGGAACCAACTTGCATCAAGTCACCAAAAGGTCATGGGCTCTAAAAAATGGTTCATTTTGTTCCTCTGAGGCATGGCAGAAAATGGCAACAGCCTTGAAACTACTGAAGCAAATTTAATCAGCAAGCACCTGTGAATGTTTTTAAAGTAAATTAGTGTTTTGGGTTTAATCACAGAGCATCTCTCTTCTTCATGGAATTCAGTTATGTGGTCAAAGGGTTCATATAGTTCCATGGTAACTGAAACATTAATATTCTGACAAGCTGAATTTAATGTCTGCCTGGTATGCACAGATCAGATTATTTTGGTTTATCTTCTATATCTGTTGTACACACTCACAAACACGATTGGTTTTGACCTGGAAGAAAATATTACTGTTCAGCATCAAAGAAATCAAAAGGCAAGTAGTTGTTCCATTCAGTATCACTGGGGCACAGATAAAGTGAGAACTGTGCCAGTACCCTGCAGCTGCTGCTATATGCATATGCTGTCATGGTATGGAGAGAGCTTTAACGTTCCTGGTCTTTTATAACAGGAGATGTTTCAATTAAAATGCCAGTGTTTCAGTGAAAAACAAGTAGCTGGAGAACAGGGAGTGAAAGCAAGTTGAAATGCTCAGTGGGGCACTGGGCAAGAGCAGCAGAGCTGGTGGATTGTGCTGGCCTGGAGCAGGGAGCCCAGAACTGCCCTGGTGGTGCCACCTCCCACTCAGCAAGGGCCAGAGAGCAGCACATTTACTGCTCCTGGGGAGATTGTCAGTGTGGTGAAGCCCAGATGCATGAGGCTCAATCTGTGCAGCAGGAAAATCTGCCTACGTGTAATGAGCCCAGGTTGTCTGAAATGAATCAGTTCTATAATGTAGATAAAAAAGTCATCTATATATGCAAAGTAGGTCCAATCTGAACACATAGTTGCCATTTCTCTGGATGTTTCAGCTCTCAGGAAGCTTTTATGAAGAGCTACTGCTATCGTTCCAACCAAGCTGCTGGATTTAAACTTTCCAGACAAATGCTCATTATCCACAAGTAATTCTCTAAATAAATGATAAGGCACTAATGAATTTTATGATCTGTTATCACTAGAAAAAGAATTGGTAAATCTCTATAATATAAAATTGACAACATAAGAGACAGGAGGCTGGAGAATTTGATCTACTGGCATTGATCTAGTTTTCTGCTAATGCATCGCTGAATTTTATAGAGGTCATATATTTTTTCTTAAAGTTAATGATAATGCTGATTTTTAGCAATAATTCAGGGCTGTGAAAACACTTTACAAATTCATCAGTAAACTGTGCTTATTGAGAAAAGATCCAGAGACATGAGCTATAATGTGTGGTCTGTCACCTTCTGATAGCAGTATTAGTTGATTCTGTGATGTGAGTGAGGTATGTTGGAATCTCACTCCTGCAGAGCAGTGGGGAGTGTGGTTTGGGGCTGTGCTCCAGAAGTGCATGTGCATGTAGGGATCCCTTGTTCCCATCATTAACAGCACCAACCTTCAAGAAATAATGAGACAGTTGTTTGATGATATATTGACATGTTACAGAACAGTTGGTGTTAGGAAATAAACTCCCCTCTCTCCAAAACGGAACTTGGATAGGATGTTTAGTATGCATGAAATTACTGGAACTGAAATTTGGCCAGAATCCTAAAGTGGACACTGAAATTCTTACATGACAAAGGGCTCATGCTTTGGGATTTACTGTCTGAACTGATTCCCACTGTCCTGCATGCTGCCAGCCTGGAGCAAGCACAGCACTCAGAGCTACTGCAGCCTGAGCCTCTCAATGGACCTTTGCTGTGGCTGAAAGTTGATGCACAAGAAGTTGGTAACCCACAGTAACTTGATCGTGTTTCTAATGTTTCACTCTGAACTCATCTGGAAACCAGCAGCACTAGAGTAAAGTGTATTTCATATAAGGAACATTGGCTAAAGTAATCAGAAAGTGTTTATCTCAGGGAAAGTCTCTGTGTTGTACCAAAGGCACAACAAACCACGTCTTGGCATAATCTCCAGCTAGTGCTATAATCATTATTCACTGGAACACTAATTTCAAAGTAGAATATGTCTGCAAATAAAGGCAAATAGCTTTCTCTCATGGACTCATGGACCACTGCTTTAAATTGCTTCCTCATAAAGGGAAGATTTTTTTCCTCATTCAGGGATTTTTTTTTTTTTAAGAGAATATGCTGAATAGAAGCATAGAATGCAGTATGGAAGGTAGCAGTTAAAGGCAATAAACTGATTATCTTATGGGAATGAATACAAGTAACCTGCATTTGTCACACAGTCTGACATAAGGCACATGGGTATAATCTCATTCCATTTGCAGATAAATTGCAACCTGGGCACAGCACTAGGGTGGTGCCCTAAGGAAATAAAGGAAGAAGCCCTGGCACAGCCTGTGCCCATCCCCACCCTCCCACACTGAGGTCACTGTCCTGGCCCTGCAGTGACACTGATACCAGCACAAGTTTCTTCTCTTGAGTTCCCTGACTGAGGGCAGGGGCACCACATTTTGCCCCCCAAGGTGTCAGTAACAGTGCTGCTCCACACAGAGCCCCTCTCATGATGTAGTATGATCTCGAAGTATTTTTATAGAAAGAAGCAGGAAGATCTAAGCATGTACATTTTGGGGGATTTCTCAGCAGGATAAGTACGTGTATGGGTATCTCTTTATAGGCTTTTCCATCAATTTCCTGATTTGAAAAAATAAACTAGTTCATTTGTGTTTGCTAAAGGATAGTTTACTGTTTAATTCTTTTTGAAACCTCTGAAGTATTTTCTGTAAAATGGGCTATGAAAGTTACAGTGGAAGCTTTAGATAATTGAATAATTGTCTGATAAGAAAATAAGAAAACCTTAGTTCAATGAAAATCCCTCTCTGATTATTTCTATATGTTGTTGAAGGTTATCACTAAATCAGGTGACATGCAGAAAAGGAATCAAAATTATCTGCACAATATAGACAACGGGTCAAATTCACGACAAGTATAACTCCACCAAAGTTATTACCCAAGCAGCTGTAGGCCAGGTTATGTCCTTTTCCTGCAGCTGTACACATCCTCTGTCTCTCATGTTCAACTTTACAGGCACTTAAGCAAATGTTGTTGTGCTGAGGTTTGTAAATTTGTCATTGATGGCACAACTGAAGCCTGTGCAGCCACAGAATTGTAACCAGGAGCTTTGGGCAGCCTGAAAACCTCTGTTACTGTACAGTTTTCTGTTCCTTAAGTGTCATGTAGCCCATGTGGGATTTAATATGGCTAACAACTAACTGAATGTGCAGATTTCTACTTCTAAAATATATGCAAAAATGTGCAACTGTTTTGTTCTTCACAAGTGCAGATTGTTCCGTGCTGCCTTTATAATTGTGCTAATTAACGTGTTTCAAAGACACGAGTCTAACCACAGCACTTTTAAAAAGCTGAACCAAATCCAATTTCCCAGGGAATTTGAGATAATTTATTTAGAACTAATTTCAGGGATTTTAGGAATTAAGGGTGATGTTGTCAAATTTAATATGTAATACTGGAATGCAAAGTATTATTATTCATTTTCTTGAAAACACATAGCAAAATTATCCTTGGAATTTTGCCAAAGTTGAATTCAGCCCATTATCATTAATACTTCAGGATTAAAACAAGATTAGCTAGCCCCCAAAACACAGTTCCATGGGGACTTTTACCTTGCAACTCTTCCCCGAAGATCTCCTAGGCCAGAAAGCTGCCGCATTTCAAGACTCTTCAGGGTAGAATTTGTTCCATAGCTGAGATTGTCTCTGACACGTATCTGTTCCTGCAGCATCTACAGAACATTCATATGCAAATAAAAACTCAGTATGGCACATTTAATGCACACTTTAAATGTCACTCATTATTTTTCAGTAATTCAGTATCCTCAGATGCCATTTTATTATTACTTTATTCAAAGCTTTGTCTTGTAATGTACTAAACCAGATACTTTTAGTTATTCTATTATTTCTTATTATTAGTGTCCAATCTGCACACAACTACCATAATATATATAAAGTATAACTTGACAGTGAAATGGAGACTTAAATTATTTTTTTCTCCTTTCATTTTCCCCACCACACCCCTGTTGTTCACTGCAGCAGAGGTCAGACATGAAGTCATGTGTCTGCCTAGGATTAGGTCATAAAAATGAGCACTTGGGTTCGGTTACTTCATGTCGTCAGTGAGTCGGAAGGGAAAGAAAGTTTATTATAGAGTGAAGGCATTTCCTACTGTTTATACAGCACAGCCTTTGGACTGAAGTTGAGCTGGGTATTAGTGTCACATTAATTCATTTTTTCAAGATTTTCCAGTGCAGCTTTTGAAAGCAAGCTTATTAGAACCACAAAGGCTCCTGTGCTTATATGCTAATATCCTGTGCTATTTTCATAGCCACCGAAAGAATTATGTAATTTGCAAACACTTTTTCAAGTTGTAAAAACAATTTACAAGCGTACAGGATCTTCAGACCTTGTCTGACCTTTACTTATCCTGTCTGACCTTTACTAATCCAGTGGTAAACTTGGTTAGGAAATGAGAAGCAGTAAGTAACTGAGATGGCATTAGCGCTGTGCAACATTCTTGCCATACCTCGATGTCCCGGTTGAGCTGCCTCACTATCGCAGTAATGTTTCGGATGTGCTCTTCCAGGAGTTGCCTTGCCAACCGGTCACCCCCCCCTTTGTTCTGCATTCTGTGCAGCGTGGAAACAATGTCCTCCTTAATGCGGAAAGCGTGCTCCACAAGAGCTGCTGTTGTTTTCTCATGGCTCAGGATTCTGTCCTCCAGCTGATCCACCAGGCTGGCGGAGGCCAGCGGCACCGCTGTCAGCGCCTGGCTGTGCAGAGGGATGTTCCGGACCCGTCTGGGGGAACAATATTCACATCTTGATAACTTCTCACACAAAACTCTGCAATGCCTTTGCACTGAGACAGTGGGACACTGTCCGAGTGCTGGCAATGCTGGGGAGAAGCCCCAAAATACACCCAGAGAGAGTTCCCACTGCTACAAATAAGTGGGTGCCGTGTTGACTACCGTGTGTCTCGTACAGGCTTTTTCTCATGGTCTTTAAGGAAGCTTACAAAAGCATGGGATCTTAAGGAAAGGACATTAGCATAATAAAAGTAGTTACAAATCAGAACTATAATTTGATATTCAAAAGTAGTTACAAATCAGAACTATAATTTGATTAAGAATCCAAATTCAAACCCTTCCTACTGAGTTTCCAAAGTAATGTTATTTGTCTTTACAGTTTTCAGGCTTAATCAAAACTGTAACAGTTGAAGGTAGGTATTGTAAATTAAATTAAACCAGATCAGAATTAAAAAGGAGTAGTTTGTGTCAATCCCTTTTCTGTCTCTATAGCTAGCCTGTAATACCATACAGAAGCTTGTTCCCCTGCAAACTAGACAGGAGCCTATGTGGGCATAGAAACTGAGGCGAGACCAAATTTATGACAAGCTTCTCATAGTCTTAGAAGTTAAATTTCCCCCCAAAATAGCTTACATTCGGGTACCTTGAATAATTATCTAAATTTTTGCATTGCATAGCTCCCATGGAAAGCAGTGGAGCTCATGGGTGCTGAAAGTAATAAAATTAATCTACTAATGCATGCAACCTTTTCCTGCCACTGTGCTCTGTAAAGAATAACAACATTTTCAGAAGCATAAGTAGAGGATACAAGTTCAATCCCACTTTAGAAAAGGAGATATTTTTTCTAGGAACTCTTATTTATTGTGTATTCTCATGTTGTTTCCTGTTAATGAGCCAAATTAGCAGTTCAGTTTGACCATGGTTGTGGAATCCTTTGAGTCCTTCGGGGAAATCCCCAGGGCCTTGCCCTGGAAGAATAAACCATAGAGTTTTCCCCACCTAGGCTGAAAGAAAGGACTTATTGATAGAGATGTATGAGGATTCCAACAAAGGTCACTTTGGCTCTGTGTTTTCACAACTCATTCCATTCCATTTCATCACTGGCTAAAGTGTTCTTGGACTTCTGGTCAGTGAGATTTAAGCTATTGGATTTCTTTGGGAAATGGCTAAGTAAAAGCTGAGTAAGGCCTTGTGATTTGGGCTATGATTTGAATGTCTGTGGTATTTCACTTTGCATTGCACACTAATGCCAAAGTCTCAGGTCACAGCATTACTCTATACAGGCAATTAAGAGATACATAATACTTTGCATCATAAAGATTTTTGGTTTTATATTCCAGACTGTACCTTTCAGAAGGGGCAAGAGTTGGGAAGATCGGGCTTCGGTGGGCCATTCTCTGGTCAATAATTTATGTCTGTTGAAAAAGTACAAATTGAATTATTGAATAGCTTATATGTGGTACTGAAATGACTTAAAGCTTTTGCTTTCAGTGCACCTTTAAGTTAAGTGTAATATTATGCTGACACTGGTGATCTTGGCCTCCAAATATTGCTAATGCAATAAATGCAAATAAAAATTAATACAAAAGAATGAAGACTAAAAGCAGCTAAAAAGCTTTTTATAGTGAAAATTATACTCTTGAAAAGAAAAGGTTGACAGCCTTGAAACTGAAATCTGCTGTTGACCCACATAAGTGGTTTGGCAGGACAGAGGTTAACAAAGTCTTGTCCCAAATTTTCTACTGATCTCTGACATCATTAATCAATTAATAATAAAATAAGGTCTACAGGATGATCATAAAACTTAAGTAAACATTGGCTGGAGAATCAAATACAAGTGATTCAATTCAGCAGATTATTAGGGGTAAGATGTTTTTCTCATAAAAGCATTGGCAACCAGAAATCTAAATAAAATGTGTGACATCAGCATAGTTTATCAAAATTTAGTCTTGTATTAATTTGTCTTCAAATCTAAATTACCACACTTTATGTTGTAAATAAATTCTTCTGTAGTAAGAATATAAATTCTGGTTTTAATTTTTAGACACAGCCAGACAGACTGTGACAGACATTGCAGCAGACTAAGTCTATTAAATAGCTTCAGAAAGATATTTTGGTGTCTTACTGTGAGACTAGTACCTGACTCAGCAACTTTGTCCACTGACAGAAATTAATTAAAAATATATTAGCCTCAATCAAATCCAACTAATCTCCCCTCCATAAAACAAAAAACATTTTTAAGTATAAAGAGAAGTAGTATGGCCTGAGCCTGATCTCCTTGGGAACCTAAAATCCTCACTGCAAAATAAGGTTGGTGTATGAAAAGGAGCTTACAATTGCTGATGAAATCCTGTGCAATCTGGGAAAGATGGAAACACAATAGTTGAATATCGATAGTGAAGGAGCAATAGGGCTACCCTCTGAGATCTCACGATGCAAAGCATGTTTGTGCTTTAGAAATCTATGAAAGCACTGCCTGAAAGCAGAGAGCAAATATTGTCACAGCGTGTGTGTTCTATTTATAGCACGGCTTCAGAAACTACAAATTAGAAAAAAAACAGTTTTAAGAGAAGCTGAGTTGCTGAGCAGCAGTGACACCAGACAGGAATTCAGAAGGTCTGAATTGAATTCCTTGCTCAATCTCTGATCCTGTTGACTTTGGACAAGTTATTTCCATGAGTAATGACTCGGTTTCCCTATATGTAAGAGAGATAACCATACCTACCTCCTTGTTTAGGTTCTTACATGGCTATGAGTAAAAAGGACAGTACAGGAGCTGGGGGTCATTGTGGTGACTTCTGCTTTCAAAGTCATGCACAGACACTGAATATCCAGTTCTGCAGTCTGCTCCTCACACTCATCATTTCCCACTTATTGGATTTTTAAGGAATTCCAGCACTCTGCGAGGGTCCCTCCTGGTCACAGCACCAGGCACCCAGTTCTCAGTGGGCCTGAGACCTCTGGGCCTTAACACACCTTAACCATCTTGATGCATTCAAGCTTTTAAGCATAATTTAGCTGTAAATAGAGGAATTATCCCACTGAATTTGGAAGTTATGTGCACTGCAGCAACGAAGCACTGGATCCTACCTAGAAAAACAAAAAACAAATATTAAAGTCCATACATCTATCAGCATCTTAGTGAAATTTAGTGAAATTCACCTTACAAAAACCAGCCAAACAGTGTTTTAGTCTCACAGCCTTCAGTACACATTTATTATCAATTAGAAAATAATGTTAGCAGAAAGCTAAGCATAGGTTTGCACAAAGTCTTAACTCTTTCTGCCAGTATACCATAAGAAATGCAGCTAAATTTAAGTATTTGGAGTAAGTGTGGATATGGAACAGAAGTTACACAAATGAACTTGTCATTCATTTCTCTTTGCTCAGTACATGGTGAAGCATCTCATCATCAGATATCAGATTTCTTGATCTGATCCAACAGCCAGAAAGGGTCTAAGACTTTGATTGGCAGTTGTACAAAACTTTGAGGAAGTTTGAGATATTTGCAATTAAGAAATAGGTGTTAGAACTAATGGCAAATTCCTTCTCTATGACTGTAATACCAACTTACACTAGCAAATAGAAACCATAAGATGTTCTATAAGAGGAGTATAATTTCACGTGGCTGTTTCAATGGCAGTAAACTGGGGTCAAGCAAGATACCAGCCAAAATACTGGTTACAGGTGCTTAATTTATCTTTTTAAAATAATGTTGTTTCCTGCTTGATACTGCTATAAGCAATTTAAGTCATGATGTATTAACCCAGTAAATTCAGGTTGACTGATTTAATATTCCAAATATACTTGTCACATGGAAAAGATACAAGCTTTTTCCTAATTGGAAATGATATGCCTGATTACCAAAAATAACAGTTCACTTGATACTTAAGGCAGGTTTTCCATACAAATGTGCAGGGCTTCCTTGGTGTTTCTTTAAATCACTGGCATAAGATGTGTAAAAGCTTGGGGAAAAAAATCATCCATGGGATGTGATGAAGAAATACTTCTAGCAATGTGCAGTTCACTCCTTGCTATTTATGCTGTGGCATCCCTTCCCCACTTCTCAGACTGCCTCGCATGTTTATTTTCTGTGGGATCTCCATTTCTCCTGCTCTGAAGGATAATCATACCTGTAGTGTTCAGCTTCCCATCTTCCATGATAATCTACAACTAATGCTGTAATGTCTGCGCACCTCGGAGTGTTTTTCACGTTCATTCTCACAATATGCCTGTGAGGTGGGAAGCATTATTATCCCTGAAAATACAATTTCCTTCTGTTGCTGGTAGGGAAGTGAAGCACGGGGCGGGCTATGTGACTTGACACAAGTCACACGGGAGTCAATGCAGACTGAAATACCTGCCTCGGCAAACACTTTAATCACTCTTTCCGTCTTAAAATAGAAACCCTTTGGTTGCTGCACAGGGAGCGTGTGACGGCACCACCCCGGCAGCCGCCAGATGCTTCCCAGTGTTACTCTCGAGTGCGTTGGGGCAACGCTTCGGAGTAAGCGGAAAAGTCCCCGTGCTGCAGCTCGGCAAAGGGATGGGGCAGAGCCCGAGAGAGCCAGACCCGTGCCGAGCCCTGGGCGCGCCTGTGACACTCGGGAACACGCGCTGTGTGCGCGACGGGAGCCGGAGCGGCTCCCCCGGCAGCGCGGGCACCGAGCCCGGGGCTCCGAGCTGGGTCAAGGGGCTCCGAGCCGGGCCGGGAGCCCCCTGGAGAAATAGGTGCGATCGGCCCCGGTGCCGGCGCGTGCCGAACCGCCGTAAGCGGGGGAATCGCGGCGGAGCGATCTGCCCTGCCCTGCCCTGCCCTGCCCGCGGTTCGGCCCCGCCGGGGGTCCAGGCCCCGCGGTGCGGGGGTCACCGGTGGGCGCAGCGAAGGTTGCGGGGACACGGGTGTACGACAGCCGACAGGACACCGCGGGACAAACATCACTCTATGGCCATGCAACACGGGGGGACAGAGCCGGGACAGCCTCTGCGCTCACTCACCGGTGCTGGCTCAGGGCAGGGCAGGGCTGCCCGCCGCTCCCGCGCATCCCCGCCGCCGGCCGAGCCCCGCTCCGCTCCGGGCGCGCTGCCGCCGCGGGAGCGGCCGTTCCCGAGCGCCGTGACCGCCGGTGCGCGGCCGGGGCTCCGTCCGCCCGTCCTCCCGGCCGGCTGCGCGGAGCGGATGGGATGGGATGGGAGCGGCTGGGAGCGGGGCGGCCGCCGCAGGCCGGGCTGCGGGAGCGGGAGCGGTTGCCAGGACGCCGTCACCATGGGAACGCTGCCGCCCTGGCGGGGGGAGCCCTTCGCATCGCCCCCTCCTCGCAGCGATTGCACGGCAGCGCCCGATCCTGGCGAAGCGGGGAGGGACGGGCAGGGCCCGCAGACAGCGGCGCTCCCTGCGGCACGGGGGGCGAGCGGCGGGCACCGAGCGGGGGCCGTGCCCGCGCCTCCCGCGCCAGCAAACGCCGGCCTCCAGACAAAGTTCGGTGGTGACGAACAGCCGTGACTCGGAGTTTCTGGTGGTGCAGAGGAGCCGAGAGTATGACTGAAAGCATGGGTTTTTCCAGAGCATATATCAAATCCTGTCAGAACACATTATTAAAATCAATGACAAATATTATTCTTGTTTATAAAGTTTCCATGTTACATTTTCAAACAAGAGCTAACATGCAGCTTCAGTGAAACTTCATATATCACAGCAAATAAGATCCATCTGCTTGCACAGCAGAGGCGTGTCAGCTAAGAGAAAGTATTACTGGAAAAACAAAGTCCACAGAGGGTGTGTCTGCGTTCACTTTTGTTTCCTGCTTGTGTCATTCCTTGGACTTTGATATGACCACCTTGGGTAAACAAAATGTAAGTGGAATCTGAGAAGAACTTACTGCACCAGCTCACTCTGAAATAGCAGATTGTCTCTGATTTTAGTTAAAATCTATGCAAAATTGCATACTGTTGTATAGGAAAACCACTGCAGGACTAAGGATTTGGTAGCTGTGAAGGATAAAAGGATTGCACCATGCACACTATTGTAAAAAGCAAGGTGAGGTCTAAATCCACACTCTGGTTGACCTATTTATTTTAAAGTAGTTCCCACATCAAAGGATCAGGCCAGAGAGAAAACATGCCATAGGTGCTTTGAAAACTATGAACTTGGAGTCAAAAGACTGTAGGATAATTCTGCTTCGAATGAACCTCAGGAGAATCCTTGTCCAACCTCCTGCTCCAGCTGAGGTGATCGATGAGGCCAAATGCAGGGTTTTGTTCAGGGTTTTACCCAGCCTACTCTCGAAAACCTCCAAGGATGGAGACTGTCCAGCTTTGGTGGATAGCCTGTTCTCATGCTTGTTGGCTGCTGAGGAAAGAACATTTTCTTTATACCTAGTCTGAACCTCTCCTGTTTACATTTGTTGTCTTCCCATAATGTGCCACTATGAAGAGTCTGAATTTGCCATCTTGGTGACTTCATCACAGATACTGGAGGGCCCTGCCAGGTCCCCCAAATCCTGCTCTCACCAGGCTGAGCAAGCCCTGCATCCTCAGGGATCCAGCTCCCAACCATCTCACTGGCCTCTGCTGACCTTGCTCTAGTTTCCTGATGTACACAGCTGTAGTGCCTGAGCTGGCAAATATCTAGACTAACTTCATGTCCCTGTGTAGCTTTTGTGCACCTGTCTAGAGGTTTTTCCTTGCTCGGAGCCCCTTGCCCAGTGTTTTCTTGAGTATGTACGTCTGCAGAGTAGGGCTTGCAAGCAAATTGTTAGTTAAAGCAAATAAATTGAAGATATTTGAAGTTAAAAACATAACATTTGTACCTCCTACTGCAATCTTGAAAATAACATTAAAATGTAGCTCATGCCTGCTTTCTCCCTCTCGCCCTTCTCTGGCAACAGTGCAGGCCAAGAGATAGGGACAGGGCACGTAAATTCTTGTCTGTTCTTACAGTCTTTCCACACCACCAGGATTTGAGGTGAATGGTCTTTGGTTTGACCCATACTGATGCTCTTTTCATCTTGTGCCATCAGAGACAATGATTTTTTGTACTTGTATCACTTTTGTGATGTTTCTAACTAAAGCAGTACTAAACTATTGTATTTTATATCATTACATCTTCAGTGTAATTCATATGGAACATAGAGATTTATTTTCTTAAAGGAAAATTCATATCATAATCATTTTATCAAGGCACAACATCAAGAATATTAATTTATTCTGGAGTCTTCAACTGTCTCACTCATTAATTGAGCCCCACTTATCCAATCACAGAAGTACAGAACAGAGCAATTTAGGCTGGAAGGGATCTCAGAGTGAACATGGTCCAACTCCCTGCTCAGAGCAAGGCTGATTTTGATGCTGGATCAGGTTGCCCATCATAGCATAATGTTTTCATCTTAAAAGCTTGTGTAATGTTGCAAAAAATCTCCCTCTGAGGGAAAAAACCCACCTCCTTGTAATTTTGTTGTTGTGAAGGTACAAGGCTCAGCTGCATTCAGTGGCAGGAACACAGGAGGCAGAACTCCTCGGTTCCCACGTCTTTGTGGATTTCTTCCAGGTTTATACCAGCCCTGCAAATAACAGCATTATTCATACGTTTTGGTTTGCAGTCGGAGAAAAATTCAACTTCCTGAATTCTAAGCATCTCTTATGTCTGAGGCTTCTCTTAATCAGATCCAGAGTGAAAGAGCCACGTGCTGTTTTTCCTCAAAAAGCCTCAAACCAAGCAGTGGATGTAAAAGGGCTGGTGACTGTTACTGTACTTTTTATTCCAGTGGTATTCAGATGGACACGTTGAACACGTTAAGGGCTTGTTTTCTGAACAGGAATGCTGCTCTCATTTGAGACCAACAACAGAGAGGAAAGAAGAAATTCTATTAGGCACACAGAGTTAAAGAAGGCTACAATGGTTATACTATTTTCCAACCTGTCCTAATTACTGATTTCATCACATTTTAAGTCATAAAATTCTGCCTTTGTTTTATACATGCTATTTTGTTTCTCCCTCCCTATATTTCACAAGAAGAAATTGCTGAATCCATTTTTTATTTCTTGTAAGTAGAATTCTTCATGCTTCAAGTGCAACTGAAGGCAGAGTGTAACCATCTACATTTTAGAAGAAAATGTTACAATCAGAAGTGTCTTTATTCTTTGGAAGGCAAATTCAGGATAAGACTACACTAAATTTTCAAAGTTGTCTTAATCTAATATAATTTGTTTTTCTATTACACAAGTCCTTCATCTTTGTAAGGAATACCAGATTATGTGGTTTTCTAACCAAAAGAATGATGTGTTGCTAAGGGTATTAAGCCTTATTTTAATAGCTTTCAAGCATTAATTAAATTATTAATTAAATTGTTGTGGTCAACAGAAGACAAATATGTGACTTACAAACTAATTTCAAATATAGTCTTTAAGTAAGAGAAAAGCTCTGATTCCTTTTTTTCCCTTTGCTGTCATTTTTAGCCAATTAGAAGGCAGTGAGAGCAGTGCTTATTTCATTACAATTTCTAATCTTTTCCAGATTCACTGACTTGTCATGAGAGTTATTTCTTTCTCAAGCCACAATAATGTTTTTGGAATAGAGAGCAAGGGAAAGCTTTATTCTGTGGCTTTTCCAAAGATAAAGACCTTGCTCTTTTTTCAGTCAGTTTAGTCTTTGCACAGTTTCGTACCAGGCTGATCCCTGTTTGGTGGTGGCCCACAGTGTTGCTCAGGCAGTGGGTAGGTGGAAAGGCACGTGTGAGTTGCCAGCTGCACCCAGTAGTAACTTCAGCGAGTGCTGAGCCTGGACCAACCCCTGCAAGTCCCAAATGCTAAGCTAATAAACCTCCTGGGACACTGAAGTGAAGCTTCAGTGAAATATTTCCCCAAAGCTTGGCACTAGTGATCAATATCAGGAGAATCAAGCAGTGCAACTGTTTGCAGCTAGAAAATATCCTCAAAATAATTCTTGATGTTAGCACTTCTGTGCATGAGCTGTAGGTGTTACTAACCAGACAGACTGTCAGACAATACATGTACTGAAAAAAACTGACGGGACTTCTTGATACAGGGAATTTTTCTTAAATCTTTTTAAGTTAGGTCTTTGAAAGGTATCCTGTCCATACTAATGTTTTGATAGAAATGTCACCACTTCTAAGTTTTGTGCATCATTTGAAAGTACAGGGGTTCCTCTGTAGGTGCACAGTTTGTGGTGATTGGGAGTGGGGCTGCAGCTCATCCCCAGTGGGCACAGCTGTGAGCAGCAGGGAGCAGCACTGACAGCAATGAGCCAGGGAGTGCCCAGGGACACTGACCAAGGGAACAGAGGGCACACAGGTGCAATGCATCAACGTGAGGGGATAAAAGGCTGGGCTGAAGAACAAGAGGAGTAGATGCTAGCAGCCTTCTGCTGTGATATGATGTTCCTCTGTATGGACAGAGGCCTGAAGCCTTCTGATGAGGTGAGGTGTCACTGTGTATGGGTGAGTGCTTAAAGCCTGCTGAAGTGGCATGGGGATGCTCTGTGTATTGTGGCTGTCTCAACTGTGGCATGTGCTGTGACATTCCTCTTTACTCTGCTGGAACTCCTCAATATGAAAATGTGGGTTCTGCCTTTCTCAGGGATGAATTGTACATTCTGGGCTGGAGGAGCCCAGGCATGCAGACCATTCATGCACACCACCACTGACATTCAAGGGGAAATGCTTTCCTGTGCTTGTGAGCAAAGATGTTGAATAAGTATCATTCAGTTAATACAGGCAGTTTGGGAATTAGATGTTTATCATTAAAATAAGCAGAATGTTTAAAAGCATGGAAAGAGTTTATTGTGAATTAGACTGTGCTTGGTCCACCCAGTGCTTAGCAAAGGTTCATGCAGATGCACAGCATTGGTTCTTTCAGCTCTGGAAATTTCGTTCAAAGTCATCCTGCAGTCCATGTAAAGTAGATGGACCCAGTAGTTCACATTTGTTTCAGTGAACCCAGGACCAGTTTCTTGGTTAGCTGGCCAGTGTGGATGCACTTTTAAACTATTTTTCCACAACCTTGGTTCTTATTATTCATGACTTGTTATAAAGATGTTTCTATGTATGTAA